TTACATTTATGATGCAGCATATCAGAGAAAAACCTATGTTTCGAATGCTGTTATTGAGGAAAATTACCAGTTGGAATATATAGCAATACCTTTTTAAAATTATGTAATAGCATATTGTTCTATTTCTTGCGGAATTCATCTGTCCTGAACTACATATGAGGGCTACAGAATTCAACTATAAAATTGAACTGCACATAATTTTATAGCCACAATTAAAATTCTAAAGATATCATATATTGCGATGCTTACTGTGATAAAAAAAATCAGACTGCCATAAGTGGTTGTTGAATAGACAAATATATGAGTATAAGAGAATATTAACTCTATCTGATATAATCATTTGGTCATATCTGAAACATAAATCATATTCTTAAATATTGACTTATAATACTTTTAACTTCTTACTTTTTTGTATTAAAGATTTACTTTGAGTTTTGTTTTTTTGTTTTTGTTTTTTTTTGTGGTTATTCAGAAACTACATAATCATCCAAAATAATTTAATTCTGTATTAAGAAGTATTTAATATATTCCTAATATGTGTGCCACAGTCTACTGGACATTCTGGATAATGAAAACAGTGTCAGAGCCAACCGTAGAGGAGCTGGCATGGTATTTGGGGAATATGCACAAAAAAGATAATAGGAGGCCTGTGTGCAGTAAGTGCCAAAAGTTTGATCAACACAGTACTTGCCTGAGGAATTTAGACAGAAAACTTGTGATTCAGGAGGTGAAATTTGATCCAATCTTGGGAAATAGATAAATTTGAGTAGGCAGGCCAGAGGAGAGGTAGTCAGATTGGTGAATACCTTGAGCCAAGTTGGGGAGATGAGAGGGCATTCACAGATATATCGGTTAGGACTGGGTCGATTGCAAGCAAAGAAAACCCAATCCAAACAGGCTTAAGCAAAAAGGAAATCTGTCGTTTTATATAATCTGAAAGGTCCAAAGGTTGGGTCTGGCTTCAATGACGGATCCACTCAGCACTCAGGCGGGGCTTGGTTTCTTTGAATTACTACCCTCTGCCTCCCTGTGTTGGCTTTAGTCTGGAGCTTCATGTGGTACCAGGATGTGGGAAACAACTCCAGGCCTACCATCCTCCCTCAACTGGGATTCATGATAAATGTGAAGTCCCAGCAAAGTCTCCTTGTGTCCTGTTAACTGGATTGGATTGGGTGCCCATCCTGAACCAGTCGTGGGGATTGGGGAACGCAGTAAGCTCGGGCTTGCTCCTGGGTCACCAGCCCACCCTGTTCCCTCTCAGAGATGGGGGTAGGGCCACCTTCACTGGAACCACAGAGTATCGGAGTGCAGGATATCCAAAGGGAAACTGAGGCACAGTTACCCCTAAGCAGAGTAACTGGGTGCTGCGCAAGAAAATCAAATGTCAGCTAACAGGGGCCAATGAGTCTGCTGATGTTATGGGATCATTTTGAATAATAACAGGAACTAGACACTGGGAATTTTTATGATAAGCACGTTGTGAATGTTAGGACAAGGAATTAGACTTTATGAGGAGTTGTAAATAAATCGGACCTGAGGATAATTGACCTGTCAGCTGTGTGTGGGATGGACTGGGGGCTGGGTGCTCAGGGGGAAAATCACATGACCTCTGTTGTATTTTCCTATATTTCAAAAGTCACAGCCTTTGTAGAGTATCTGTTGTGTGCTGCGAACCATGGAGAACACTGAGAGGGTAGCCAAGCCTTGATCTTGCCCTTCACAGTGACTACAATGTGGCAGGGAAGACAGCGAATTAGAGTTAGTTATGGCGTAGGCAGGATGCACAGCGATAGCCGCGCCAGGTTTCATGGGAATCCAGAGAAGGAAGTTGTTCAAATGAACATAGTCTACAGAGCTGGAAGCAAAGTGAGCAGGAGGCTGGAGAGGAGAGGCCTGTGGACAGTGCAGCCTCTGGGACATCTCTGAGAGCAAGTCAGTTGAGAGCCCTAAATATTCATTGTGTAGCCTCTGAGAGTATTGGTGGGACCTGCGTGGGTAGGAAACAGCCTCTCTGTCATCATGCCCAGGTCTCCCTAGGAGTTTATGGGTCCAGAGTGGAATTATACACACAGTGAACCCAGGCTTGCTGTCCCTGAGGGGGGTTCTCAGGTCATCAGCATGGAAAAGCCCTGGTCTGATGGCCTTTGAGGCTGCCTGGGGTTGGTGTCTTCACAGCTCACTCCAGTTGGGAACAGAGAAGGAGAGAGTGCCTGGAGTGCAGTGACTCTATCTGATTTTGTTTGAAAAGACTTCAGAGTCAGTGGGAAGAAATTGCTCAGGCCTCTGCATGAGGACAGTTCTGCTCCTAGCCAGCGATGCAACAGGGGGAGGTCTCTCCACATGCCTGGGCCTCAGGTCCCTAACCTGGAAAGGCAAAGCATTAGACAAAGAATGCTTTATAAATTCCCGTTCAATTCTAAGAGTCTATAAATTCACCAGAAATAACCATCACACCCTTATTCCATGACACGTGATCATGACATGATATGTTTCTAGACATAACTGCTAGGAAGTTACTGGTGAGTCGGTACAACTGAAAGCACAGGAGCCAGTCAGAAAGCTGTGAACCGGGGAAACTGGTAGGAGTGGAGAGAACTGGCCACCTAATAGGGACCGGGCAAGGGTCCTGTAGGCAGAGGGACAAGTAAGGAAGAGGATAGGATTGCCCTTAAAAGGATCTGGGGACATGGAAGTGAAACTGAGGGGGATGGGACCATCCAAGCATGGTCTCAACACCGAGTGTCACCAGCCTTTGCATAAACTGGACTATTTGTGGAGAAATGGCCTATTTCAGTGGCTTCAGCCAAGTGCGTGACTGGGTGTAATTGAGTACATTATGGGGAGATGAAGTAAATAGGGAAAAGGTGCCAATGAGAGGAGGGAGGGAAGAAGGGAGAGTTCTCTGAGATAAGTTCTAATGTGAGCTTTATCTTGCATTGTTTTCCTCTGACCTGCAGTTACTTCATTTTAAAACACTATCTTACAGAAAAGTGTAAAGAAAAAAAAAACTTTCCATGTCTGGGAGCCTTAGCCATGTAGAAAACATTTGCTCATCAATTTTTACCTACAGCACCTCTGGGAGGAAGAGAAGGGGTGATGCCTGCTCCATATTTAATTGAGAACTGAGAGAATGGTTCGCACAGCCTGCGACGGACAGAATAGGACTCAAAGTTCCTGACCGCAGCTCCACGTGCTTTTCCCCACACCAGAAAGCTGCAGCTCACTAGTCGGTATTCAGCCCGATGCCAAGGAGTTTTTCCCTCTCAAGAAAGTAGAAATAGAAAATTTCTTTTACGAGCAAAACAAAAGTTTATGTTACTCTTGGATTAACTACAGAATGGTTTTGATGTAAGTCAGACTAAATAGATGTCTGTTTTTTACAAACATTCAGCTCCGTACAAAGAGAACAGTTTCAGTTGGCTTTGAAAGCAAAACGCCATGTGTTGTAACTTTACGGTGTTTTAAATAAAGTTAGGAATTTGGGTTTATGATGCTGAAAATATCATAAAATTCGTGGGTATAAGACCAAGAAATATATATATATATATATATATATTTAAATTTTTAACAAGTAGAAGAATCAAACATAGACATTTCAACAAACCAGTTACTGAATCATTGTATTAACAATCTAGTACAACAAGAAGTGAATTATTAAAGTTTATCTTCCTCATTGAATCCGTAACACTGTTATTCAGTTTGTGGGCAGTTTTTAAAGCAAGGCAGCTCAGCCTAACGAAGCCATTTACTGTACTGGTTCTATACACTGCCTCTCTTTCCCTCTTTATTACTTCATTTTGGAACTTTGATTGCCCTACTTTAGATCTAAGATTGCTCTAATGCTGTAGTGCAATCGTATGAGGGATGTAGTTTTCACTTTGTTCTCAGGACCAGGCCGGCTATAAATTTATCTCCATTCTTTGAAGAAGCTAATAGTAAATTTTCAAGAGGAAAAATGGTGGTATAGATCCCTGTAGAAGAAAAGTAATCTCTTAAAAGCAGAATAACCTCCAGGCTACATCCTTTTAAAGAGGGACTTTCAAACAAGGACGCCTTCAACTTTTATATGTGTTCTATATTTTTCTTCAGGCTTTGTACCTGCTCTTCTACTCTCTGTGTAAGATTTCCCTGTAATGACCCTGTTCCTCCCCACACCCATTAAATCTGTAATGAGGTCATGCCGTTCCCAATTCTGATGTCATAATAACTTCCAGAGCTATGGCTGGATTGCACATTCTGAGATCATCTGAGGTTCCCTAGGAAAATGAGGCATAGAGACCAGGAGTTGGAATGCCTACAAAACTGAATCTCCATTTCATCAATTACCATATACTATGGTGAAAATGAGCTTTGTAAAAAAAAGTAAAATCCATGGGAAGGTTTCCATTCTGTTTAACTGCATTCAAAGCAGTTTTCAATTTCAGGCATTGGTTTCATTAAAATTAAAATAATTCTTCCCAGAGATTCAGCCACACTCCCTCATCAACAGATAATAAGATAATTTAGAATGAGGAGATGCAAAATAACAGGATGAGCTTGTGGCTGTGTTTCCATGTCTGACAACTTCATCACCTTTCATCTTTATTAGACAGCTTCCTTGAGCTGAATGTTGATGAATGAGGCTTGCCTGGCGTCCTCACACGTCAGACACACAGGCCTGGGGTGCTCACTTACCAGGGCTTCTCCCTATAGCCTGGGAGCTGCCGAGGGTAACAGATGTGGAGCTGGGGCAAGTCTGGGTAGGGCTGGGGAGAGCTTGAATCCAGGACATCATCCATCCTGCCTGTGCCCGTGATGTCATGACCAGGTGCTCTTAGGAGCTACATCTTGGGGAGCAGAGACCTCCCCAAGAGTGATGACTGTTGTCCACAAAAGTGAGCCTTCATGGACAGGCTAATTTGGCCAGCATAGTTTTGTGAACTCTGAAAGCCTCAGAAAGAGTTTCTTCGGCCATTTCCTTCGGCCTAATTGTCCTCTTTCTCATTTTATGCCCCTGCTAGACCACCGCTCTTGATAAGGAGAGGCAGGTTTTCCGACGAAGACGCAACCAGGATGTGAGGAGCCGGTACAAGGCGCAGCCAGCTCCGCCGGAACTCAACTCGGAATCCGAAGACTACTCCCCGAGCTCTTCCGAGACTGTTCGCTCCCCAAACTCGCCCTTTTAATAAGACCCTTTTACTCGAAGTCCTAGCTTAACCCTTTGAGACTCTGAGATTTTTTTCCAAATTTATGTAAAACAGTTTCATCTGATCTATCTAGCACTCAAATGCTTGAATGGCAGAACAGAAAGTGTGTCTTCTAGTATCTTTGTAGCGATTTCCCTTTGCTGAATGAGATGATGTCATGTTGTTTGTGAAGATAGCAATTTGCTGCTAATAGGGTCCTCAAAGGGTTAAGGCTACTTTGCAACTTTTTTAGACTTAAAAGCAATGAATGTTTTCATCAGTCAAGCTAGGATCTGCAGTATGTAATATAGCACATGTTAACCCTCTGAGTGCATTGGGTTTTATGGAGAACCCTTGGGGAATTTTTCAGACCTTTGGATATATATACACACGTGTTTCTTGATTTTGCTGCAGATCAAGGGGTGTTCTTAGATGCTGAGATGTCCTGACAAGAAGGGCATCTAGAATGATATCTTGCTTGTCCTTTATGATGGGTTTAGAACATGGCAGGTGTATAGCTTATGCAGCAACAGCCCTCTTTCTTCTTCACGATCCTTTTAAGAAAGGGACTTTTGTCATTAGTGGTATGACTGTCAGCTGCCGTGAGTCCTGCATCCCAAGTGGAGGGAATTGGGTCTGTGGCAAACAGCCTGACCCGCGAAAGAGATGGTGCCCCTGCCCCCGCATTGTCTCCGTATGAAGATGTGCTGACGACGCCCCAGAAATGCTGCTTCCACATCAGCTGCTGCTAGTGCCAGTGCAGACCATCAGGCAGTCACATACCTTGTCTTGTGCTTGGTGAGGCAGGGTCTGCATGCTCAGTATGAGACATCTACAGGGAAAAAAAAAAAACTGGTGAAAAAGAGCAATAAATCGCCAGGTGCTCTATGGGGCTGGAATTTCAAACAAAGAGGAAACCTGATCCTGTTCTTTTTCTCACCTGCTTTTTCATGCACTGCAGTCTTCAGTGTGAAATCCATATAGAGTATCAAATCCATACGTAGAAGCACTGGGGCACAGCCGACTAGAGGCAAGCGCTTTGCAAGGTGTCCAGGGAGAAAGCACAGGGAGAAAACAATCTAGAATGTTCCAAAAATGGGTATTCAAGAAATAAACCACTGGTAAAATAATTCCATGTGCACCTTTAGGGTACCTACAAATAGCCTCCCAGGAAAAACAGGACAGGAGGCCTAGAAGACACCCCTGAGGATAAAACTTATGTTTCCTAACATGAGCTTTTTATGCCACCGTCTTTAGCTATCCAGAGGGACATGTTGTTTTTCTCTCTGTGGGTCAATTCCTGCGTGAGACCTGTATTTTCACTCCTGTTACCAAATTTTTCTCCTTAGTCCTGTGTCTCCATTGAGTTTCTTCTGGAATGTGTCCTATTTCAGAATGGGGGCTTCTTGTACATGGCTACAATGCTTAGAGAAGAGGCTAGTTATAGTGGCTTGGAGGCTAGGGCCCAGCTCAAATGTCCTCCTAAGGTTTGCCCAGCTCTGTAATCCAGGAGACAACAGTGAAGTCTCATAAAATTTGCATCTGAAGAGCTGAACAATCCTTATCATCTCTGGTTTGAATCTACTTCACTATCTGAAGGTCTTTGACCTTGCTACAGTCAGTTCTTTATTTTCAAGTACACATTTTTTACTCTCCAACTCATAAACTATGGGCTATATTAATATAGATTTTAAAATCATAACATGCCATGACTTTTGCAATATAGTCCCTCTCTAATTTTTTGCTCTTCCACATTTAGATTTATTGCTTTGGTCTGTGTTGTCCTGACATATAAGCAGTAGACTACTTATTGAGAGTTTTCCCCTTTTTAGAGAGTCCTGAAATGATACACAACATCAGACAGTAGCACAAATTAGTTGGGGTTTTGGGGGGTGGGGGAGAATAGGGGGCAGAACACCAGGAAGGGTGTTGGTGTGTAGGCAGATTTCACATTAGTGAAGTACCCTGATCAGAACTGGTCAGAAATTACTGCTTTCTCTAGAACTATGAAGCAAAGCACTATTCTAAGTAACACTAAGGAGTAGCCATATAGCTTGGCCTCAACTCTAAATATGTAACTATGAAGAATCCTACGGGCAGAGACTTCGCTGCGGGAGATTGTCACTTTCCTTTCTTTCTCTGAACAACTGCTTTTCCCGTGAGCATTATATGTACTGCCACAGCATCTAGTGTACAGGACTTACAGTGCATGGCTCAGGCCTTTTTCCATCCACATCTTGGGAGACCGTGGACCATGTGAAGCTGTGAAGGGCAGCTGGGAAGAGTGCAGGGCCCATTCAGCATGGAGACTGCAGAGCATCGCTGTAGAATTTGAGTGATCTATGCTGAATAAACAGTGGAATGTGACCTGTCAAGTAGAAATATTGAGTAATCAGATGGAATGCAATCTTTTCAGCATCAAGCTATCAAGATCCTGCATGTCAGAGATGTACTCAGAGGGTTAACAGACAAGCACAAGGCATGCTGATGATGTTGGTGTTTCCAGACTGCTTTGCTTTTAGCCAGTGCTTTCTAATTTCTTTTCATGACATTCTTGGGATAGTTCAAGTTTGAAATAATTAAGTGGTGGTGTTCTTTAAGGAATTTCTATAACCAAATTGATCTTATTTTTGTTTTTCACTTTGTCATTGAATAAATATGTACCATTATGGCAGTGTATCTCTGTAATTATCAATCATTGCCACACATGTTTCCATATTGCTTTTCTAAGTATTTAATATAGCTCTTATGGTGGTGGCTCGGTATGGGGACTGTCTTTCCTTTATTGATACATGACTGACCATGTGGTATTTTCAAGGGAATTCTAAGATTCAACTTTTCAGTTCAGTAGTAGACTAGTTAAGAAAGAACTCCTTCATTACCTGCATTGTGTAAATCATCTCTGTAGATGATAACTGTTCATACTGATGAACACTTTGTTTTTTCGACATTGTAGCAGAAATCATTTTATTCATCATAATTAATGAATATGTGATTTGCTCCAAATCATTAGAAGGAAAAGTAAGATTTCAGTCATTGAAAAATGTTTTTACTGTAGCCCTCATCTAACTTATACATGGTGCATATTAAAATAAGCAGAGAAAAAAAATGCAAATAAACTACTGAAAATGTTTGGTGTTTTGTATTCAGTGAGACTTCTGTGCAACCTGCTCAGCACCCCCCTGGGTTGTGGTTAACAGGCCCGTCAGATATTGTTGAAAGAAAGCAATATATACATGAGTGAAGGCTAAAATTGCAATCCTTTACCCTTTGAGGCATATTTCAGTTGGAAATAAAGGAGGAAAGAAAAATTGGCTTAGCTTAGAGGGTCACGGAGCTACCGTATGACCAAGGCTCATGCGCATTAAATCACGGTTGTTTGCAGGCCGAGGGCACCCATTAGACAACTCTATTGCCAGCACTGTAGTGCAGTTTTGCTTGAGGGAGAGCTTTCTTAATATTATTGTGTTACCTGCTAGCCCTTCTCAGGGTGAGGATCTGTCAGAATTTCCGTGATAAACTTCTGTTTTCAAAGGTTTTTAATTTGACCATAAAAGGGGGCCCCAGGCTGGTTTGCTCTATAGGGCCTGTACCAAAGAGTGAAGGTTCACTTCCTTCTCTGCCCAACTGTTCCGAGGAAAGAACAACAGAAAAATCTGATACGTCTTCTCCTTCGTTGTAATTTCAGAATTTTGGAAAGCACTGAGAACCAAGATGCTTGTTTTAATGTAATTACTCTTTTGGATGTGGGTTTAAAAAAATAACTAATCACCTGAAATCTATTGTAGATAACATATATTTTCTATAGTTTGTAAATCATTAATTTTTTAATCTGCTACATGATTTTTTTCTTTTTTGTCCAAAGATTTTTTTTTAAGCAATTAGAAGTTGGTCAGTTCAAAGGTTAGCCTTTCCTGTGTGTTGTCTGCCATTTACATTAAGAATTTGAGAAAAAAAACTCTCAGACCCTTACTTTGCATGCAGTGATACAGGGTCAGATATATGCTTTTTTTGGAGATACGGATTTCTTTATTTAATCATCAAGTTTCATGAAGGCATTTTAGTTTGTTGGGGAAGATAGTGCTTAAAGGCACTTGAAAAATTAACATTTTTGTCAATTCAGATATGAGCTGAAGAGTGTCAATAACACACTTTCAACTTTTTTTGTTTAAAGGTAAACAAATCAACAAAACTTGAGGATACACTAAACACTTGATCCCAGCAAATATGCTTTTAAAATTGGCTCAATGGTGCTTATAAATGAAACAGTAAAAAATGGAGTCCCAAGGACTGTCAGAGGAATCTTTAATTTGCATGTATTTACATACTTGAGGTGGAGGTGCTTTTAAACCAGTCTTTTATTTTTTAATTATCTCAAACATGTATCCATCCATTGAGTAACATTAAGGGTCTTAAACTGGTGGGAAACAGGAAATTCAATGTAGAGGTTTTGAATGCCTCTGGTTGGGGTGGGGTTCCCCCTTTTTTTCTCTTTGATTTTGTTGTTGGTGGTGGGCTTCAACACTGAAGCTTGGGTGGTGATCAGTTTTCAGTGAGGGAGCTTCCAACTGGCAGGTGTTTCGATCATGAGGTTGGCAACATCTTGCCCTTGGAGACAAGTGACAGATCTCGTTTCATCCTTTTTCCCTAAAGGAAGCACAATCTCTACAATTAAACCATACCTGTAAATTTCTTCAACATTATCAGTCGGTCAACAGAAATGAGACCCTTAATGCTGCTTTAATGTAAAATTGTATATTCTTGTCTGTGATATACTTTATTAATTTAAAGTACATAATACTTCTACAAGCCTTCATGTCAGTACTAAGAGAAAGTAGGACTTTAAAAGTGATGATAAAGATGCTGTAATGTCAATTCATTCCAGTCCAATCGAATGTGGTAAGAAAAAGACCTTGAAGAGTTCTCTAGGGACAATTTCTCACTTGTCATCGACATTAATCTTTGATGTATTCTCAGAAAAAATATAAAGAAATTGAAACTGGTCCAAGGTTAGAGTCATATCTTGAAAAACTTTAAAAAAAATTTTATTAGGAAATTAATAATAGCCTCTTTTATTCTGGCTGAAAGAAAATTATTAAAGGATTAGTTGAGTGTGAAATTAAATAGTATTTTGCTCATGCATACTAAAAAGGTAGACTAGGAACTTGATGCATTTAAACAAGTTTCTGAAAGGTTTCAATTTGCTGCAAGAAAAAAAGTTCAATGTTTCCTTTGAAAATACTGAATTTATCAGTTGCTGCATGGATCAGATGGCATAGGTTAATCTTTGATTTTCAGAATCTTAATGAAATAACTTTCAAACGATTTGTATCCATGATTAAAGCTGGAATGAGATCCAATTTTTCCCTAATCTCTCAGTTTAAGCTAATAAATGTAGGTTAATGTGAAATGAAATCATCTGTGATATATTATGTTCATTTATCAACTGAGCTTTTTTGATGTTGCCTGTTTTTATGTAAAACATGTTCTTAAAGTTAATAAAATAATAGTACTTGGTGTATGAACTACTACGTAATACCCTAGCTGCAGTGTCCACTCCTCAGTTCATTTTGCCCTAATGGAATAAAATTTCATTTTAGTTCAATTCATAACTGACACATTCAGTCCACGAAGGAATAACCCAGCTGTGTTCTTCGGTAGAATTCTCTCTGTGCAAGGCTTTAAAAATTAGTCATGCGATCAGAGTGTAGCTTTCCCACATGTCCTCCATAGCAGAGTGTATATTTCATGAGCATAATTCAAAAACAACTATTCCAAAAATGTCCCTTTTCATATATTACCTTCCTGCCTGGGCCAGTGACTTGGATAAACACAAAGAAATAAAATACCACTGAGCCCTATTTTATCCTTCAACCTATGTGCACAAGCTCTCCAGAGAAGACGGTTGTTTTATCCACTAACCTGTAATTAGCTGCCATTTTTATAGCAATTTCCCATCAGGCATTCTGCATCCAATATTGACCTTAGAGAAAATTACAAAACTGCACAATGGAATAAAGTTCTTTTCTATGTGAGTTTTTCAATGCTAGGAGATTGAAAAGTTGACCAGCATAAGTGACTGAAGTTCCCTGATGTCCTACGTAGGTGCCAGAATATCTCCAAGCCCTTGTAAAATTAGCAGTCACCTTTCCTGCCATCTATTGGGTTGTCAGAAAAGTCTGACATATTTTTTCTATGTTTTCCACTGCAAAAATGCATCATGACTTTTCCTACAACCCAATACATGCTGCTGCCATGGTGGCTACTTTCCCCTTTGTTCCTGCACAGTGAAATCGTGGGGTCCTTGCTAGGCTCTTAGGGCAACTGCTGTGAAATAATGGCTAAAGTGATTGCCTCCTAAGGACCACTACCTTGTTTTATGAGGCTGGCAGCTCTGCCAAAAACCTACCATCAGAAAAATGGGCCCTGATGCAGAAACCAACTCTGGGACTGATGATCATAAAACTGCCACCTAAGGAAACTGCCACCTAAGAAAGGTCTCCCACAACTCTGGATGATTGGTAGTTTGCAAGGTAAGACTTACTACATAACAGATAAGGAAGTTATTCAAATGGAGGTAAATGAGTAACAAGAAATAAGTAAGGAAGCACCCTGGGAAATGTCTTGTAACATCTCCTTAAATAAAAGAAAGGCGTTGCTCTATCTTAGAAGGTAGCCTGTTCCCCCAGCTCTGGGGGAAGCGCTGAGGGAAGATGAGGAACCCCTCCCAGCCAGCTGGACCAGCCAAATCCACGCTGGCCATCAGCACTGTGACAGATGTCCCTGCCAGCTTGCCTGCACATTCAAATCATTCATTCAAACATTTCTTGAGTAAGTGCCAACGACAAGGAAGCCACTTCATATTGGCTTAGAAAAGAAAAGGGAAACTCCATTGTCCAGTTTTCTTTTTACTACGGACCCGAAGACTTCAAAGACAAGAGAACAGATCTGTAGCAAGAATGTTTGCCATTTACTCTGAGACTCCTGGTCCAGAGTTCACATAACATAAACACCCACATCCAGGGCGACCTTGTGTTGACTGCAGTGTGGACTCTCTCACTTGAGGAAGTGCGGTTACCATCTGCCTGTTCAATGGGGCACACACCCTGTGGTCCTCTTGGCTTTGCTCCTGGCCTCTGAGGTAGAAGGCCTCCCAGAGTCCTCTCTGCCATCTGTAATTAGCACACAACTTTATTTTTTTTAATTTTTTTTTAAGATTTTTATTGGGGGAATTGGGGGAATGGGAACAGTGCTGGGGAATTGGGGGAAGGGGAACAGACAAGTTGCTGTCGTCTTGTTCTTCAGTCTAGTTGTGGAGGACGTTGCTTCACTGGCCCAAGTTGGCACCATCATTGTGCTCTTCTCTGGCGAGGCAGATCAGTCGCCGGCTTCTGGACGGCCGCTCACTGTGGCTGCTGGCCGCTCACGCTGGCTGCTGGCTACACACGGTAGCCCATGGCAACCCACTGCCACAGGGACTGCAGCCTATGCCGTCGCCGGCAACTCATGGCAGCCCAGCTCCAGGTTGAGCTGTTGTTCAGCATCTTAGCTGTGGAGGGCAGTGTCACTGGCCCTCATATGTGGGATCCGAACCGGGGCCCTCTGGCATCCCAAGCGAGTTCTTAACCATCGCGCCACTCGGCCGGCCCTAGCACACAACTTTAAACTCTGTGGTAGATGGATACTGAACCATGTCCATTTATTCAACAAGCATTATCAAGGACCTACTGTGAGTGATGCGCTGTGGAGGCTAAGATAAACAGGACACAATTTCTGTTCTTAAGAATCTCAGATTTAGTGAAAAATCTGCTCTGGGTGGCCATGGGTTGAGATGACTGATTTATCACTCACATATGGCCAAACACAGTTTGTCCGGGGTATGGCCTCCTTACCAGCCCAACACTAGCCCTCTCAGCACGTATAGACTGTGTGTGCTGTCTACAAGCCAAAAATCAGTCACATGCAAACACACTGTGGCCAGCTCTGTTACACCATTTCATGTCACCTTTAGAAAACCCTTAGAAGGAGGAAATGAAAGGAAGGGAGAAAAGGAGGAAGGACATAAATGCTGCCTTAGATCAAAGTTGCCACAGTCTTAAGACCTGGTGTATCATTTGGAGAGTTTGAAAGGAAAGGAAGATAATGTCTCACAGTGTGTTCCTCATAACCAGTCCCCAAAGATGCTCTGTGGGAATCATAGCACATAACCTAGTATGAATTTAGTATAGCTTTCGGTCTGTTCCACATCCTTTATGCAGGTGAGCAGTCCCCTTATGATAGGGTGAATGGTAACATCCTGTCAGTGGCACCATCAGTGCATTTCTTTTAAGCAGGAGGTGGGACATTTCTCAAGAATGTTCTAATTCCCACACTTCACTCTCCTTTCTCTTTCTGACATTCAAGATCCCTTCAGAGGACCCATTCCCCACCACCTGAACCTGCACTAAAGGGAATTTCAGCCTGAGCACCCTCTCCTCATCTGCCACCTAGGACAAGTCATCTTCTATCTCCAGAAAGTTCTTTTCAGGCGCCAGTCCCTCTGCTGGATCCTGGGTCACAAGATAAAAGACCCAACAACTGCCTGCCCTATGTTCAAGGTCCTGTGTAGGAAACAAGTAAATAGAGAGGTATCCTCCAGCATGCTCAGGGCTGTGCCAGAGAAAGCATGGGACCCCAGGAGCACTTTGGAAGTTCATCTAACTGATAGGAGGTTAAGAGGAGGCTTCCTGCAACAGGTGCCCCACAGTGAGGGCCTGAAGGATAAGTAGGAATCAGTCTAGAGGAGAAGGAAGAAGGTATTTCAAACAACAGGAACATACTTAGAGAACATGTAGACGCTCAAAATCGGTAAAATAGAGGCTTACAGTCAGCCCCGAAGATTCCAGGGTACAGTCCAGGGAGCTGGGCCTCACAGACGCTTAGCTATCATGCTGAGAACAAGTATGGGGGCTGGCGCAGCTCCCCACTGTGTGAGTCAACTTAAAAATGAAACAGCCCCAGATGCCAGGTCCCCAGGGCTGGCTAAAGAGGAAGTGGAGCAGGGTAGATGGCTCTTGAGGGGGCTTTAAAGGTAACTTCCTGAAATAACATGAACCCTAATCGCTCCTTCACAGTTAGAGCAAAGGACAACCTCCCTTGTGCAAAGAAGCAGGTTGTATGCTAATCCTTTCCTGTAAGGAAAGGATTATCAACTCATCTCTCACAAGGAAAAATCACATTCTTCTCTCAGTTGCTTCAATTCTGAAAAAGAGAGAGAGAGAGAGAGAGAGAGAGAGAGAGAGAGAGAGAGAGAGAAAATCCACTGACCCTGAAAATAGCTCCCTCTCCTTCTTCCTGGACAAACCCTCATTGTCACCTTTCCCTACAGCAGGGTGATAATTAATGTTCCACCCGAGAGAGGCTTCGTTATTCCATCAGAATTACCTATTAATTTGCTGGATTCTTTTGATTAAGCGGTGAACTTGTCATTGCTGGTGCGTTGCTCAGAATGTGAAATGTCCTTTCATTTTTACAGGTAAATCAAGGCCTAAACCAACCCGGCCGTTTTCAATTTCCTCTCTTGACACAGTCTCCTCTGTTCTTACCCTTGTGGTTATTCTGTGTTTTAACATTTTAACATCTTCTGTGTCCACTGCTCTTTTGCTGAGTAAACCATTTTTGCTTCATCATTATCTTCCATTGCTCCTCCTTACTCTGTAGAGGAAAGTAAACAGTTCCCATTGGTTTCTAAAATCGGAAAACTGAAAATGTCCTGCTCAGGATAGGAAGGAGGCCTCATTCTAACACTTACATCAAGGGACTTCCCTGCCTACTGGTTTCATAGGTTCTCCCGAGTTGCCCACACTTGGTGCTTTTCTGCAAAAATATTGTTGGCAGGTATATGTACCTTAATCCCGCTGCCTCTCAGGGCTCTCTCAACAACAGGGCCTTCCTCTCTCAATGTGCTTGCTCTGAAAATGTGAAAATCCATCATGGGCAGCCACGGTGGAGGAGGAGGAACCAGATGTCACCTCGATAACCGAGTGTTCCCAACGCCCAGAGGTGCAGTCACAAGGGAGAGTGAAGACACTGGCCTGGTCTCTCTAGTGACAGCTGATCAGAGCCTCTGTGAGCCCCTCTTAGCCAGACCCCAATAGACTGTGACCAGTGCTTAGTGCTGAAGTAGCAGAGGATGCCCTTGGGCCAAAGTGGTCACTGCTATCAGTCAAACTCAAGATTATCCAACTCAGCTCTGTCCCCTGCCCGTCACAGGGCCCACTCTAATGGAAAGGAACTTTCCAGGTGACAGAGAGGCTGAGATTTTGTGGAGCCAAGTCAGGCCTCCTATCACAGGCTGCTGCCCCCTTCCAGTGCCCAGCTCTACTCCTCTGGGCTTTAGTAGAAATAGCCACATAAACCTGGGTATGGCGATATGAGGCTTTAACCTGCTCTCCTGCCCAGAGGCACGTGTGCGGCCTGAACACCAGGTGGCCTCTCCATTATAAAAGCTCAGGGATTTTCTTCTCCTTAACGTGGCCCTAAATCCAGCCTGGCCTCTGAGCAA